CCTGTAACAATTTTGTGGTGACACCGTACTAATTTGCCAGCTGCTAAGAAGTAACACACCTTCCCAGCCCACAGTGCCCCCATTCAGGGGGTCTGTAAGGGTGTGAACCCTTCGGTGTGGGGTATCAGAAATCACGCTTAGGGTTTCATCTGACAGCAACCTACAGCCCAAAAGCTCAACTGGGCCTCAGAAGAGGAATTGACCAACGGAAGGGATTATTTGAGGTAAGCAAGAGCGTGGTCTCTGCGTGGACTGAGTGGTGCAACCACGGTGCGCAGGAAGAGCCGGAAAACTTTCAGAGGGTGATTGCAATGCCCAGGAGGTGCAAATAAAGGACAGAAGAGAACAATCATACAGGCAAAAAGGGAAAGCCAGTTTTACTGCTGTCAAAACAGGACTCGTCCTTGTGCCTAATCCAGCCCACTCAGACTGCTACATGCCATGCAGCTTCCCTCATTTTTTTAGGAGGCCGATTACAGCACCAGCAAATTCTGATACCGAGACTCGCATATCCGTTTCCGACTTTCAATTTCTATCCTCTTTCCCAACAAATGCTTCTTTGTTAGCCTTGGCCTTTAATCTTTTCCAAGTACTTGTAAATGTTTTAAGTCCCGTGGCTTGTTGTCCCCTGGCTCTATTATGTATAATTAACAGTTTTAATCTCTCCTGCTTATTGTTTTTATTGTCCTTCACTCCGTTGACTCCATGACTGGCAATTCATTGGAAACAAATGAAGTGTTTCCGCTGGAGTTTTAAAAAACCAGTTCTCACTCACTGTGTATCTATATCCATCTACAGACTGCAGTAGCTGAAGGTATCGCATAAATATTTTTATTTGTAAAGCATTTCCACAGGACATCATAATAGACAGGAATTCTAAAATGCGTCACATCCTTCAGTTGCTATGGGATCAAAATGCATTTTAACTGTGTTTCCATATCCTGTTTATGACTTAGTCTTGCATACAAAATAATAAACAAAATTTTAATATAGTTTATTTTAAAGTATTGTGACAGCATGTAGGAGCACCAGCAAAGGCACCTATGCTAGCCAATTTATGAACCTGAAAAGACTGAAATCTAAGCAATTTAAATCAACACTTGCTTCTATATTATCTACATATGATCTTCTGATGTGTGTACGCAGACCCCAAGTGTGTATTCACGTAGAACTACGCTTTTATTTGCTACAGCATAAATGCCTCTGTGTTTGTAGACCCAAATTGCACCACTCTACCTGGCAGTCACTTCTCACTGCAGATCAATATGCTGTTCACTATTATTGGTACAATTCTGTTGTTACCTCTGCTGCTTTCATCTGATGTGTCATTATCTACGTTTTCTATATATCTCTAGATGTAGCATATAGTTTATCTATCTATCTATCTATCTACCCATCTATCCATCCATAGATGTAATACATATGTACCCAGATGCAGCTGATTTTTTTCAAGGTACAAACTTGGAGAAACAATAAAATATATTGTCCTGTAGTGCCTCTGGGGTTGTTACTGTCTTCACTGCTGCCCAGCATACCCCTGATAAAAAAGTGACAATTAATTTTCATGGACAGAAGCCTCAAATGCAGATGGAGTTAAAAGGCTACATTATTCCTGCAAAACTTAGCTACTCATAATTGGCATGACCAATTTGGGTGAGTAGGCATCAACACAGCCATTACATTACAGGTTTATTATGAAATTTAGAATTGTATAATCTCATTTCTGACCTTGAGTTGTGCAGGCACCGCTCTCAAGAGCAGAACTGAAACCTGACAGATCATTTCGCAAAAAAATGTGATGCACCTTACTTGAAAGGATCTTATTAAAAAGCTTTAAAACGTCATGACATCCACAGAAATGCTTTCAAACAACTGTTGAAAATACTTTAACAACTCTAGGCAGCCATTTGACTAGAAGACTTAAGAGGATATACCAGGTTTATATCAAACATTCAGCATATTTACTACTTCTGATAAAAAAAACCCAAAAAACCCCCAAGAACATATACCAGGACAACTGTGGTGGAAGAACTCTTAGGTTAAAAGTATGTTTTTCTGGTACTGAAATACAATATCTGGCGGAGTCATGACCAAGGACCCTACAATCCATTGCCTGCTCCAAATAATGCTATTGCCAATTCCTACTGTCTAATCCGTAAGTCTAAGCGAGGAGGGAAAAAGAAAGAAAGACCAAACAAAGGTAATAACGTACATAATGGCTGCATTGTGCCTGGGCTTTAACACCTGACCGCGTCCCAAGAGCGGATGAAAGCGTGATGTCAGCACCTTACGTGAGAAACTATTTCCAGCACTCTGTCCTTCAGGCGATTCCCAAAATGACCAGACCCCTCTGGTCAGCTCTCTGTTACCAACATTTCTGCTAAACTTCTACTGACAAAGCATTCATGAGAAAGGTCGCAGGTTACATCAGCTAAATTTCCTTTTTCCTAGCAGGCTTTTAATTCCCTCCTCCACTCTGTTCCCATCCCAAGCAGATAAGAGAGTCTGGCCAAATGTGGCCCACAAGAGTTTGGGGTTTTTGCTAATGTGGCTCTTTCGCACCTCAACCACTGTTAGCTGGGCTAACAGACATGGCTACAAAGCTTACCCCCTGAAGCAGAAAAGTAGCTCAAAGGAAGGGCTTTCCACCAAATATTGAGCCTATTTATAACAAATACGTGGCTACCGTCTTGAACACAAACTGGCACCATGGTTTAACAGCTTTAGGGGGCTACACTACGGTAACCAAGCTCTTTCACCTAACCCAGGACACACTTGCTGCAGAGATACCATGTTTGCCCATTAAATACAACTTGCTAAGCAAAAATCATATTCTCTCTCTCCAGACACTTGGATTACCAAGTCTAAACCAGGAAACAATGGTGATGGAAAGCTGTTTCTTTCTTTATTTTTTTCATTCCTTCAGAAGAAAACCAAGGGAAACAGGCTTTATTTCTTGCAAAACGTCCAGGAACAATAGCAGTAGTAACTAAGTTTCTTTCTGCTGGTTGCTAGAGTATGTTGTGGGTGCCAGATGTGCAAGTTTCCACACACACAAGGCTAGGAATGTGACTCAGTTTTAGCTAAAGGCGATCACTTCTGAGAGAAGGGACACTTCAGTTTTACAGACTCATTTACAGCCTCAGTTAGCCCCAGTTCTCACTGCTCAGGCTGCTGAGTACTGATGGATGCGACCACTTCTCCACCAGCATACAGACTCACTACCTTCGTTCACAACCCAACAGCTGCCTGGTGATGGGAATGGCTTTCTACCACCAGTGATCCAGGCTTTATTTGAATTCGGTTTTGAAAAAGCTTACGTGCTTGCTGTCATTGTACTTGAGGAAAAGAAATGGTACGCGCAGACCTGAGTGCAGTGTGCCTAAAGGCACGAGCCTTTAGAAAGTACCAAAACACCGAGATGTGACTCTAAAACTATCTCTCAGCTACTCCTTTTTACTTAGAACCCCATGCAACCCATGAAAATCACATCATAACATTCAGCCAGGTAATTAAACACATTTTCCTCTCCATTGCGGTGCAGACATTTACTAAGAATCTCGTGAGAATTACGAGTATACGCTGTAATAAATACTGAGCTCGCTTGGGCAATGTAGATCTATCAACTATTACCACAGGTGATCAATTTCTTCCGTTCACGTATTTCTTCCTTTGCAACCCATATTCTCCATGGCCAAGAGACTGTATATGCATATGCAGTGGAAAACCAGCACCAAGTGTCTTCTGAGGTCAGTCTCCAGAGTAGAGGATACAGACACGTTTCTAAACCATTTTCATCTCTTGCTCTTGTATTAAATAACAGCGCTCAGGGTTTTTTTTGTGGCAATTCAAAATTATGCAAAGTATGCCAATGCTTCAAAAGAAAACAACAAAAGCTCATATTTTGAATAACAAGAAAAGAAAATGACATTTTTGTAAAGTACAAATATTTCTGTCCCAGTAAAGTACACTGTGATTAGCATATTTTGATTTCGCATCCTCGTGAAGTTTACAGATTAGTCAAGAAGGTCCCAGTCCAGAACTGCTACTTTGTTGACTTCCGCTAAAATTTTAGCTAATTTAGGTCACTGAAGAAACACATATAACCAATGTCACACAGTAAAAGAACTCATAGTTGAAATAATATTTAGCGCTTCTGTAGAAAAATGCACTCAAGGATCTCCAAGTAGTTATGAAACAAATTCATTAATTAAACTTCTCAACACCCCTATGAAACAAGCGAGCACATTTATCTGTTTTATGAGGAAGGAAACAGAGCCATGAAGAGGTGGAGTGACTCGCCCGAGGCTACCCAGCAAGAGTCTTTCAGAGTAATAAACAGCATCTGAATTATTGATTCCCACTGCCACCCTTCAGCCAAACTGTTCCTTTTTTGAAATACTGCACTGAGTTATAATAATTGCTGGCATGATAAACATAATGTGGCAATATTTAGTCGAGATTTTCTTTGTCTCTCTTCAGACCGTATTAAAACTTTTTAGTGTTATTTAAATTGATCTTCTCAGGGTGACCAAACCCCTCCAACTAGTTGAGCAATATTTCCTGTATTTCATTCACAACTGTATTTCTTACAGTGCTGCTGCTTATGTCCAAAAATGAAGCTGCTCCAGCTCAAAAATGCAGGAAAACGTCACAGCTTTGTATCGCTTCAAGAGGGAATGACAGAACAGGAGAGGGAATGGCTACCACTTCCATTCATACCAAACCCAATTTCAAGGGTTGGCACGCGGGGCATGAAGTGATGATGCATCGCTTCCGTACACTGCCTGTACGGAACTGCAACGGGAATTGCAACCTGACATCCTGGGGCTGAGGAGACCGAGTTATTCAGTGTGGTCCCAGGGCACTTACAACTCCTCCAACCCAAAAACCAACCAACCAACCAAAAAAAAAAAAGTGGCAGGAAGTTGCACCGGCCAAATCGCTCTTTTCCTGTCCCTCGGCTTCCCCAGGTGCAAGGCAAGGATGCTGCCGCTTACCTTTCACGCACGCATGTTTGGCAGGCTTAACTCGCTAGCACTACAGGCTCGGCGGCTCCGGCGGCGCTGGGGAAGAGCAGAAGGCTGTTACGGGGGCGGGGGGGGCCGGAGGCACGGCTTTAACCG